GCAGCATGGCCTCGCCCCCTTTGCTGCCTTTTCCCGAGGGCGGGGTTTATCTGGGTTTGTGATGTCACGAACCCGGGAAGTAACTTGTTGTAGTCCCTACCAGTTGTTTTTGTAGGCATTAAACTGCCAGAATGTTAAAAGACGACATCTCCGTTTGCATTGAACTTTCAGCTTCGTAACTTTGCAGATATTGGTTATGCTCAAACAGCAACATTACACACTAACTAACGTTAAAAAAGTGAAATTGCAATCAACCACCCCTTTAAACATACAGACCACTTATGAGGCTTTTATTACTAGTAAGATGTGCAGTTTCATTATTTACTTCATTTAAATCTTGTTTTAGCAGGGCTGCTTCTAGTCTTTCATCAGTACTGGGGCTCAGGCTCTCCATCAAAAATCTGTGCCCATATTTTGAAACTCTACTTATTCTTTACAAACTGTACCCGCAAAAGAGCTGCTTTTCCATTGACAAACGATAGAAGTTTTGTTTCTTACAGTGCATTGTAGGCAAATATCCACCTCATCCAGCGCTCTTTTTGTTTTGTTTTATATAATATCCCGTTACTATTTCAGTGTGAGAAACCTCTGCAAGCAGTGTAACGTGGGCGTGAGCTCACGAACGAATCAAACTGAATTGCCAAATATTTCAGACCTTCTGTTATTTGGTTGATTAGATCAAAGTGATTAATTGGTGAATCTGCATCACTAGTTCTGATTCCAAACAGCTGATGGAAACACACACAGCGCGACCCAAGAATTGATCAGTAATGTTTCACTGTGTTTCACTGGATCAGTAAAAAGGCTCTGCTCTCAGATGGAGGTTTGGTCAGAGGACTTCATGCATGTGTGTTTTCACAGATACGCCAAACTGCAGCCGGGTGCAGAAGCGCGCAGAATGACCCCTGATGAGCGGACGGAGCTCAGGAAGTACGTGCTTCATGGTTAGAGTTGGGCGTCACTTGAATTTGATCAATTCCAATTCTGCTCATCGATTCCCAGTGTCAAAACATTTAATTGTAGTTCTCTCACAATTCTGAAGAAACAATATTAGACAACTAAACAAAATCTGATGGAATTAATGAATGAATGATTCAGTGACTCACTCAAGATTGACTCGGTTCATTACTGGATGAATCAGTGATTTTGAATGAATCTCTTGAATGAATGATTCAAAGACAAATACATTTTTAACAGCTCCTTTTCTCCAGCTAAAAATAAAAGATGCGCGCACAGGAATTGATGAGTGGAATTTTAATTTTACAACAAGTATCCGATTCCTGACCTTAAGGATTCGATTCTGGAATTGGAATTGATTTTCGATTCCCAACCCTAGTCATGATTGAAATTGCTTATTTCGACTGATACGAGTGTGTTTGGCTAGTTCTGTGTCTTCTCGTGCGCAGCACCGTCTCCTCTATCCTGGGCGCCTGGTTGGATCAGTACTCGGAGGACTTCTGGAAGCCTCCGGACTACAGCTGCCTGAGACGCCTGATCCACTACCTGCAGCTCAGCTTCCCCGGGTCGGACCTGGAGCGCCGGGCCTGCAACCTGCTGAGCCAGTTCCACCGCAGACTCCAGCAGGAATCAGACCGGGACGGTTCGTCAGCTTCGATCGGTCCATCAGCTCAACCTGATGCTGATTCCTCTGACCAGAAAAAACCTGACTGTTGATTACAGTCAATTATACATTTAACTGAATTAAAAATGATAAATTTAACATTAATTAGAGCAGCTGAAATAATCAGTTAAATTGTAAATTTAACAAATTCCAAGTGTAATTAGAAGTCATTTATGTGATAATGTAAAAAAATATACAGTATAATGTATGATTTTTATTTGAAGTAATAGCATGTCTGATTTTAAGCATAATTACTGTAAAATGATAGAAGCTAAAGTACCAAGGTCGTATAAGGAGAAAAAACAATTTCATAATTTACATTTATGCATTTGGGAGATGCTTTTATCCAAAGTAACATACAATTTTATTCAAGTTATACATTTTAGCAGTTCTTGCTCTCCCCGGGAATCGAACCCATGACTTTACTGTGTGAGCGCCATGATCTACTGTTTAAGCTACAGGAATGCCATATAATAATCATGATAAATGATTAGTTCTGGCTCAGATGAAGCTTTTGTCTAACGGTAGTAAACATGTTTCTGTCTGCAGTGCTGGATCAGGGCTGCTGTGCGTTCGCTCTGCTGCAGGAGAACGGATTCAATGAAGATCGACCCGATTTCCTGAGCTTTGACCCCACTGTGGTGGCGGAGCAGTTCACACTGATGGACGCAGTGAGCAACACACACACACACACACCCAATTACACACTGCTGCTATAAAATTAGAAGCACACAATTCCCTAGAATAGCATTATGTGCTTAAACATTAAGATTTGTACTCATGGAAATTACTAAAGTAGTCAAAGCTGTTCATTAGAAGGGGGTGCCAATACTTTTGGCCATGTAGTGTATATAAATAGTTGCCCTGTCTGTCGTCTGATGTGGTGTTTCATTCTGCTGAACTGACAGAACGATGGTTTTTGTTTCAGACTGTGATGCAGGGGACGATTCCTTACCTGGGAACTTTCCTGACGGATCTGGTCATGATGGACACGGCCATGAAAGACTATCTGGACGTGAGTCTCTCTTAACAGACACGCTCATCACATCAAGCACATGGGACACTTTCCTCCTTTCTATCCACTGTGTTTATAAAACAAATTTTTCTTCCCGCTGTACTGAAATCATGCTGAACTGTTGACCTTAAAGGTGTCATGACATGGATTTTTTTATTATTTTAATATGTTCCTTGAGGTTTACTTATAATGTTAAAGTGGTCTTTGGATGCAAATTTCACTTTTACATGTTGTAAACCACTATATAATGATAAAAATCCACCCAGTGTTTTTTTTAAATCCCCATAAATCATAAGCAGTGTCTCAGATCAAGCTGTTCTGACATTCTTGGCGTAGGTTTGCACAGGCCCCTCCCACGACTACAGTTTCGACACCGCAGCAGGTATAGATGTAATAATGTTGTTGGATGTAATAATGAACATAGCAGTCGTCATTTACTCCCGACATCTGAGCCGCTGAAGACACAGTGGCTTAATTTGGTTTTTAAAGGGAATGTGCTCCCCAATCTACCTAAATGCGCATATGTTCATGCGAATCATTCATGATCCAGCTTCACCTACAGAAGAAGTGAGTATAAGGTATTTTTATGAATCTTTGTAAATCGCCTTTCCTAATAATGTGCTAATTAGCAAGTTCTGCGGCTAAATGCGGCTAAAGTTAAGAGTCTCTCAGAGAATAGCTGGTCACCCCACAGAAGAGAGGGGCGGGGTCAGCAGAGCTCATTAGCATTTAAAGGGACATGCACCGAAACTGCTCGCTGTGAACAGAGTTGTTTTTGACAAGGTAAAGAGGGTGTTGTTTTGCACTACCATTGAGAAATTTTATCTAAAGTATGTTATAGACTCATTAAGACTCATTAATGTAATGTAAATGTAAATGTAAGACCCTAAAGAATCATATCAACTTGTGGAAAATGGGCATCCAGTGACCCCTTTAAAAAAGGTTTTTGCACGAAAAAAAAAAATCCTAACACCATCAAGGCTCAGAAACGTAGCAAGGACATCGTTAAAATAATCCATGTGACATCAGTGGTTCAACCGTAATTTTATGAAGCTACGAGAATACTTTTTGTGCGCAAAGAAAACAAAAATAACAAGTTTATTCAACAATTCGTCTCCTCCACATCACCCTGTAGCGCCATTCTGGAGAGTATCACATACATAAACAACATATGCAACGTATGTACGCGGATACGCTGTTTACGTTGTTTGCGCTTCGATCTGAACGTAAACAGCGTATCCGCGTACATACGTTGCATATGTTGTTTATGTATGTGATACTCTCCAGAATGGCGCTACAGGGTGATGTGGAGGAGACGAATTGTTGAATAAACTTGTTATTTTTGTTTTCTTTGCGCACAAAAAGTATTCTCGTAGCTTCATAAAATTACGGTTGAACCTGATGTCACACGGATTATTTTAACGATGTCTTTACTACGTTTCTGAGTCTTGATGGTGTTAGGATGCTTGCGGTCTATGAGAGGATCAGAGAGCTCTCGTAATTCATCAAAAATATCTTAATTTGTGTTCCGAAGATGAACGAAGGTCTTACGGGTTTG